GTGAAATTAGACGCCTCATCCACTTACAAAATTCAACATGCTCTTCAGGGCATGGACCCAGGCTTGGATCTCAAACAAAGCATTTGTCTATATTACACACAAAGACAACTGTTGCTCCAATATGATATGGTTAAATCCCAGGATTCTAAATTTACTCCCAGAAGGGCTGCTGCTTTATAATTACTTTTTTTTTTAAAGCAATCATTCTATAAGAGGAAAGGAAAGACAAATGCATAAAAACCAAGTAAGACTAAGATATGCCTTTAAACACTACTTTCAAAAGCAATTTACAGAGACTAAAATTTAAACTTAATAAGTTAGTATTTCATTAGGTATGTGATTAAGTTTTAACTGGAAAGGGGCATTTTAGAAATGACTCAGTGGGTAAAATGCTTGCTTTACAAGCATGAGGCCTTCAATTCAGATCCCCAGACCTATGTAAAGCCAGGCAGGTACAGTAGTGTACATATGTAGCACACGGGTAGAGACAAGAGGATCCCTGTAGCTTGTGGGCCTGTCAGCCTAATTAAGCGACCTCTGTATACAGCATGGAATATGTACATGTACATACAAAACACAGACTTTATTGGGAAGTTACACTAGACCATGTTTCAAAATTTCAGTTAGATATGTCTACAAGATCTGAGAGAGAGCTGGGAAAGCATGGTTTCAACTTTTTAAAACACCATTGTTGATATTGAACCCAGAGCCTTGGGCATGGTAGGAGTGCTGGTTGGTTCCTTGTCAACTTGACACAATCTAGGGTCATTTGGGAAGAGACTTCTATAGAGAAAATATCTCTGTCAGACTGGCCTGTAGGCCAGTCTATGGGGCATATTCTTCATTCATGATTAATGAGGGAGGGCCCAGCCCATTATGGGTGCTAACCCCAGCAGCAGGTAGTCAGTCCTCGGAGGTATTTCTCCATGGCCAATGCTTTGATCCTTGCCTTCCCTCAGTGATAGGCTGTGATTGAGAAGTGTAAGTCAAACAAACCCTTTCCTTCCCAGTTGCTCTGCCATGCTGTTTTACCACCGCAAGTATCACAGTGCTGTCTGACCTATACTAAGCCATTACAGTGTGACTGGAATAGACAGCACAGAGGTTCCTCCATCTTCTTGCTGAGGCTATTCCAGGGTTAACTAGAATCTGATCTCATGGAAAACAACCCAACTCTACTCTAGGAGCCAAAGGTCAGGATGTCCTTGTTAGCTTATCTTTGTTAAAAATGCCTGTTTGTGAAGAACCCCCTCCAGCTAACTGTTCATCTTAGCTGCCTGTTTGTGTAGGAACAACCTCCCACCTTTGCACCCTGGGCAGCTAGCTAACCACTTGTCCTAGTTTGTGTTAAAACTTCTCACTTCTACCTGGCAGTGGTGGCACACGCCTTAATTCCAGCACTCGGGAGGCAGAGGCAGGCAGATCTCTGTGAGTTTGAGACCAGCCTGGTCTACAAGAGCTAGTTCCAGGACCTCTAAAGCCACAAAGAAACCCTGTCTCAAACAAACAAAACAGAAAAAAAAAAAACTTGTGAAGCCCCCTGCAGCTGCTATGGGAGATGCCTTGATGAGGTCTCCACCCTTATAAAAATCCATATTCTGGCATTCCTATGTGTCAGCCCCACAAACACCTAGGTGTGGTCCCAGCCAGCTTGAATAGACTTCCAACTGATTGTAAACTGTCTGAGTATTCATCTGGTGGGCTACCACTGAGCATGTACTGAGGCCAGAGACGGCATGCAGAAATCAGATCTTATGCCATATGGATCCTGGGGTCCAAAGTTGGGTTGCAAGGCTTCATGGCAAGCCCTTTACCCAATAAGGATCTTATGAACCTCTACCCTCCTTTTTTGAGACAGGGTCTCAGGGAGCCCATGCTGAACTGAAATTCACTCTGTAACAGGATAGCCTTGAACTCTTGCCTGCTTTCATGTGGTGCTGGAGATCAAACCCAGAGCCCTGAGTATGCTTGGCTAGCACTCTACCAATAGAGTGAGTTAGAGCAAAGGCTTTGTAGGAACTTTCGATGGAAAAATGCCAATCACTTTCATTGGAGATAAAATCTTGACACATTTCCCCATCTTCTCTGTATTAGTTACTTGTCTTAATGCTGGGAAAAACTAGCAGAAGGGAGAGAGGGAGGGACAGAAGAGGGGAAGGGAAGGAATGGGATTTGTTTTTGTCTTACAGTTCCAAGAGACACAGCCCATCATGGCGGAGTAGCATGGTGGCTGATCACATGGCATCTACAGTCAGGAAGCTGGGGGGGAGGGGATAAAAAGTTTTGCTCAGCTCACTTTGCTTCTTTTATTCAGTCTGGGACCCCAGCACATGGAATGGGTATTTAGATGGTCTTCCCACCTTAATTAACCCAATCTAGAAAACCCCTTGTAGACATGACCAGGTGTGTGTTTTCATGGTAATCCTAAAAGTCCATCAAGCTGACAACTGAGATAAACCATCACGATTTAACTTTCCCTTGCACATGCTCCCCACTCCCACATCATTAGAGACCCTAGGTGTTTGGAGCTCAGTGTGTAGTGTAGGCTGGGGTTTCAGACATGCAGCACTGGAACCAGCATTTAAGAGCAGGGAATACTCTACAACAGCGAACACTAATGATGCTGAAGGCAGAATCAGTGACTGGGAGCTAACGAAGCAGAGGCTGAGGGCACAGACCATTCCGTGACAAGCAAAAAAATGGGACTAGAGGTGGAGGCATCACAGGGTAACAGGGTAAGGTCTTGGTTTTGCTTTTATTTGGCAGATATTCTGGCAGAAAAGACATAGTAGAAAAAAAATGCAGAAACCAACCATGGTGGTTATACTGTAATCCCAGTACTCAGGGGGGAGAGGCGTCTTGAGTTTAAGACATCTTACCTACATAGTTCAAAGCCACCCTGGACTATAAGAGACTCCGTCTCAATAAAACAACAATACAGAGAAATGCAAAAGGAAACAACCATAGGATAGCAAGACAGAATCCTTTCCTCTTTGTTTAAAAAAAAGTGTATTTTAGCAGGTAGTGGTGGCCCATGAGTTTGATCCCAACACTTGGGAGGCAGAGGTAGGCAGATCTCTGACTTAAGGTCTATAGAGTGAGTTCTAAGACAGCCAAGGCTATACAGAGAAACCCTGTATGGAAACAAACAAAAAAGGGTATTTCAGGGGCTGGAGCAATGGCTCAGTGGTTAAGAGGACTTGTTGCAAACAACAGCAAAAACATGATCATCTCATTAGATGCTGAAAAAGTCTTGGAGAGATCAGGGATAAGAGCAACACACCTAAACATAATATAAGCAATATACAGCAAGCCAACAGCCAACATGAATTTAAATGCAGAGAAATTCAAAGCAATTCCACTATAATCAGGAAGGAGACAAGGCTGTCCACTCTTTCTATATCTATTCAATATAGTACTCGAAGTTCTATCTAGAGCAATAAGACAAGTAGAGGATATCAAGGGGTACAATATGGAAAGAAGTCAAACTATCGCTATTTGAAGATTATATGATAGTATACATAAGTGACCCACCTAAAATCTACCAGGGAACTCCTATAACTGATAAACACCTTTAGTGAAATGGCTGCATACAAGATTAACTAAAAAAAAAAAAAAAAAAAAAGTAGCTCTCCTATATTCAAATTATAAACAGGCCGAGAAAATCAGGGAAACACCACCCTTCACAGTAGCCACAAATAACATAAAATATCTTAGGGGTAACTCTAACCAAGCTAGTGAAAGACTTGTATGAAAAGAACTTCAAGTCCTTTTAGAAGGAAATTGAGAGGGGGAAAAAAAGAAAAAAAGAAAGAAAACAAAAAGAAGGAAATTGAGGACGAAATCACAAGATGGAAAGATTTCCCATGCTCATGGATTGGTAGGATTAACAAGGAGGGCCCTACGGTGGACACATGGATCTCCCTGGGAAAGGGGGAATAGAAAAGATCTCGTGGTGGACTAGGGACTCCTCCTCCTCAACAAATCACTTCAAATACCTCTTAAAATGCCAGTTCAGGGGCTGGAAACTATAACTCTGGTGGTAGGCCCTTGCCTAGTATTCATGAAATCCTGGGTTCCATCCTTGGCAGTGCATAACCAAGCACACACATTTGTGAGGCAGGAGGATCAGAAGTTGAAGGTTAAGGGCCAGAGAGATGGCTCAGCAGTTAAGAATGTGTACTGTTTTTTACAGAGAACATGAGTTTGGTTCAGGTGACTCCAGTTCCTGAGAATCTGACACCCTTTTCTGGCTTCTGTGGCCTCCAAATGCATCTACACTCAAGGGTATAAATCAACCCACAGATATACATGAGTGCACAGTTTATATAAGCAAATTAGAGAAGTTTAAGGTTATTCTCAGCTGCACAGCAAGTTCAAGGCCAGCATGAGCTACCTAGGTTCTGTCTGAAAACATTTAGTATATCCTCCAATAATTTGTCTAACAGACCCTCTTTTGGATGGCATACTTTTACCATTTACTTTATATTCTTAAGACAGCTCCAATTATTATTATTTTTTGTTTGTTTGTTTGAGAGAGGAGTCTCACTACGTAGGCTCTGGCCGGCCTGGAAACCCGCCTGCCTCTGCTTCTTTAGTGTTAGGATTAAGTGTACACCACCACGCCTGTCCACTTTTGTCGTTTCTTACTCCTCTTAGCTACACAGTACTGAAACCATTGACACACATGGTTAATCCATTCCTGAAAGAAAAGGCTTGCGTAGCTCTGGAGACACAGAGCGCAATGTATTCTGGGATAGCGAGGGCCGGATGCCACAAGCACATCAGAGAGACGAAGCAAGCTACTTCAGTATCATCTATTTCAGAAAACAGATGCCTTAACTGGCTGGCGGCCTCGCTCTCCCCACTCCTGCAGCACAGCTCGCCATGGCTGACAGGTTGGTTCCCTGGAGGGTGCCGCGCAATCCCCACAGTGGCCCTGGGCACCGGGTGACCTTCCCTAGTGAAGCGCGACCCTCCCACCGATCCGAGGCGCCTACCTCCGTCCCGGATTCGGCCTTGCGAAAGTCGCTGCACATTGCCCCGCCAGCTCAACTCTCCCGCCAGCAACGCCATTTAGCAACAGCCAGTCAGACCGGCAAGCCCTATGCACGCATGCGCACTGGGCAAGCGGTGGGGGGGGGGAGGCGCGAGCGTGCGCAGTAAAGCTGCTCCACCCACTCGGTGAAGTCAGTCTTATTCACTGCCTCTTTCTCTGCAAACTGTTAGTTCTTATGTTTTCTTTTCTTAATCTCAGACTTGTCTTTATTAGGCAAAATTAACAAGTTGTATTTGATTTTTAAGTTTAGTTTGATTATTTTTCAAGACGTTCTCCCCATGAAGTCCTGGCTGTTCACAAACTCGTTCTGGCCTTGAACTCTGAGATCCATTTGCCTCTGCCTCCCAAGTGCTGGGATTAAAGCTGAGCACCACCACTCCCCCCGGCCTGCTTATTTTTAAGAATTTTTTAAATCTTCTGGCCGTTTCCGGCCGTGGCGGTGCACTCCTGTGATGTTAGCACTGGGGAGGCTGAGGCAGGAGAATTGAGAGTTCTAGGTTAGTCTGGGCTATAGCGCGAGATTGTGTCTCAAAAACCAAAAAAACTGCGACAAACATTTACTGATTTGGGCTGTTGGTGCGCCAGTGATCTAAGCGAACCCTGAGGCCAGCGCAGGATGGTCCCTTAGCCCAGGAGACCAACCTGGGCAGCACAGCAGACCTGTACTAAAAACAAAATTGATGCCTTTAGTGAGCAAGCTCTTCTGGTCGGTTCTTGAGGCAGAAGCTGCTAGGTGTGTTATTGATAGGTAATTGAGGAGGAGGGCACAGGAATGTATATTGAATTGAAAAGAACTGTCGAGATATACTGAGCCTGTGAGTTACCAAGCTCTTGGTTTGATTAGTTTCTTTTCCCTTTTTGTTTTGTGTGTTTGTTTTTTCTTAAAGTGGTAGAAATACAGGCCAGCACCAGTCCTAGATATGATACCGTTAGTTAAGCATTCTTCCAGTTGAACTATTTTCCCCGGGCCCATTTTGTTAAGTTCTTGGGTCAAGGAAAGAATGGAGAGGAGAGTAATTTTATCACTATTGGCTGTCAAATGCCCACTGATTAAGTACATATAGAATGTTTTTACTTTGTCTATCTACAAGTGTACATCTTATATACACAGTACACGCTAATGTAGTGTCTGTACAAGATAGACTATACACCACATATCAGATCTGTACTAGGAATACATCTCAGGGGACATGCCTGAATGAAGTTTATGACATATTAGATCAGTTACTGGAACTCTTCTGAAAAATCACTTTGCAACAAATATGTTAGGTTGTTTCCTTGTGATAAAGTATGAATTTGACTCTGTCTCTTGTCATACACTTGAAGCTGTATAATTAAGAACTAATGCTCTATGCTGGCTAATTTTATGTCAACTTGACACAAACTAGAGACATACAAGAGGAAGGAACCTCAACCCGAGAAAATGACTCCACAGAATTTGGCTGTAGAGCATTTCTTAATCAGTGATTGAAGGGCAAGGGCCCAGCCCATTGTGGGTGGTACCATCCTTGAGTTGGTGGTTCTGGATTGCATAAGAAAGCAAGTTGAGCAAGCCATGATGGGCAAGCCAGTAAGCAGCATTCCTTCATGGCCTTTGCATCAGTTCCTGCCTCTAGGTTCCTGTCCTGCTTGAGTTCCTACCCTCACTGCTTTTGATGATGAATGCTGGTTATATAGAACTGTGAGTGAAATACACCCTTTCCTCCCCAGGTTGCTTTCTATCATGGTGTTTCATTGCAGCAATAGTGACCCTAACTAAGACATGAGAGTGATTTGTAAATGCCAGTCATGGTTCTAAGTGCCCTAACTTGTCCGTCTACTCCTCAGTCTTGTGGGGTATGTGCTGTATTCATGCACATACAATAGGTGGGAAGAATGATCACAGTTTTAGTTCATGTTACTTTATGGTGATGCTGTAATGGATTGACAGAATAATGCAAAAGGGAAGTAAATACAACGTGTACAAATGAAAGGGACTCTAGCCAGCCCAGGCATGGCAAACATGGCTTTTAAAGGATTTACACTTCTCCATTCCATTCCCTCTGCCTTGCAAAAACAAACAAAAACAAACCATTAGATTACATTCCTAACACTATCCATCAAGGTCTGTTCCCTCATTTGGCCACTTCCTCCTGAGGCCCACTGCCAAGGTCCACCTAGCAGAGTATTGAAGCCCAGCAATCAAAAGTCCTCTTTGGTTCACTTAATTAATATGCCCAATTAAAATTAAACACCTTATTCTGACAATTCCCCTTTTACATTCTAAACTGCCATTTGCCTATGAGCCCCGTCTGTCTTCTCTCTATCCAGAAACAGTACTCTCCCACCCCCAGACAAATATCTCTGTCTCTCTCTCTCTTGTTCCCTTCACCTTCTCCCTCATCCTCTGTCTCCTGCCTTTGTCTCTTATTTCCCACCCTTGGTCCCTCTGGGCAAATAAATCTCCTTTGTGCTGAGAAGTCGGTCTTGGGACAGCCTGGGCTGATCCCCTCATAAGTCGGTCTTGGGACAGCTTGGGCTGATCCCCTCATAAACAACTCCTTTAAAAGCCTCAATGTGCCAGGCAGTGGTGGCACATGCCTTTAATGCCAGCACTCAGAGGCATGTGAATCTCTGTGAGTTCGAGGACAGCCCAGTCTAGAAATCAAGTCCAGAACAGCCTGTTATACAGAGAAACCCTAAAAAAGCCTCAATGTCATATACATAAGATATGGGGAGGTATGTGGTGTGTGTGCACATTCACAGGGGCTAACAAATATGCAGACATGGTAGCACATATCTGTAATTCCAGCAATTTAAGCAAAACAAAAACCATCCTACCAGATACATGCTAAAAAATAAAAACGTGGCTGATGATATTGTTTAGTGGGTTAGCACGCTTGCTGCTGGGGCTGAAGAGCTGAGTTCAATCCCAGGACTCTCATGGTTTAAGGAGAGAGCCGATTCCACAAGTTGTCTTCTGACCTCCACACCCATGCAGTGGCACACACATGCCTACATATATACGTATTCACACAAATAAATGTAAAATTAAATTTAGAAGGAAGGTTGGGAAGAGGGATGGAAGGGGAAAGAAAAGAGACTACTCTCTTTAAAAATTACCTTAAATATTATTTGAGTGTTTGCCTGCATATATGTCTCATCACCACATGTGTACCTGGTGCTCACAGAGGTCAGAAAAGGGCACTGGATCCCCTGGAGCTAGAGTTATAAGCCACATATACGAGTTATATGTGGGTGGTGGGAATTGAACCCCAACCCTCTGAAAGAGCAACATGCAGTCTTAACCACTGAGCCATCTTTCCAGACCCAAAAGGCCATTGTTGTTCCATTCTAGTATGTAGAGAAGGGACTTAAGAAAGGTCTCAAGTATTGGGCTAATGTAGCGCATGGCAGAAGGTATTTCACTAGAACTCCCCTGCTGCACTGGCATCAGTCATGATACTACCCCACTGCACAGCTTTTCTCCTCTCTCAAGCTCATGCAAGAACACTGGTGTTTATTATCATACATCTCTAGACTGTGTCCCAGAGCTAAGTGATGTGACAAATCAACTTCTGGGTTAGAAAAGCCCAGATTCATATTTTTCATCTCTCTGCGCTTCAGTTTTCATTATAACTTATGGAATAGCATGGGTTTATGGTTTTCATAGGCAGTGCCTAAGCAGCTTCATAAATAAATCACAGTGGGCTTGGTTGCAAGTTGCAGAAGGTGCTGCTTCTGTCTATTTTTAACAATAAATAGGATGGGAAATGGTTCAGCAGTTAAGAACACTGGCTGTTCTTCCAGAGAGCCTGGGTTCCATTCCCAGCACCCACAAGGCAGGCCGCAATTTCAACTCTAGTTCCAGGGGACCCAATAGCCTCTCCTGGGCTCTGTGAGCAGTGTGCACATGGCACACAGACATACACATAGGCAAAACACCCACACACATAAAAATAATTTCTAAAAATCTGAAACAATAGGACTTGCTGAGTCATGTAAAAGCAAGTCCAGAAATAAGGCAGGCTTCGAGTTAGTTAATGAGAAGCTCAGTCAGACAAATAGGGCTGTGTAGCAAGATCTGACTCAGAAAACAAAGTGAAGCAAGATGGAAATAATCACAGAAAGGACTTATAAAAGGCCTTTGGCCCTTTGAATCAACTGGAAGCAAGTCAACACGTTAGGAGGCCAAGGGCTCAGCAGTGAGGTAAGACATGGTCTTACATTGTAGGCCAGGATGGCCTCAGACTTATGATCCTGCTGTCCTCACCTCCTGAGAAAAGAAACTAGAAGCTTTTATGATTACGTCCAGCTAGGTCTGGTTGTTTTCAGTGATGAAACTACAAGAGATGAACCTTTCTGAGCTATAGTATTGTCACAAAATGAGGGCTTTTATAAGCCATATAAACAAGCCACTGGGGTGGCTTAAGAAAAACAAACAGAAAACAACAAAAAACCCAAAACAAAACAAAGAAAAGTCACCTGCAATGCAAGTCTGAGGACCTGGGTTCGATCCCCAGAAACCAGGTAAAGATGGCAGTAGAGAACTAACCCCACAAAGTATGGCCATGTCCACATATCACACACAAGACACCTTTTAAATTAAAAAAATACAAACTATGAGTATCCTGCAGCAAGGTTATATGAAGACAAAAAGCAGACCATCCAGCATATAGTTCACTTTCAAAAATGTCATCTAGTCCAAATGCCTCACTTCACAGAGGAGAAAATAAAGGCCACATTAATTACTTTTCTATTGCTATGGTAAAACCACGACCAAAGAAAGACTTAACTTGGGCTCCTAATTCCAGAGGACTGCGGTCCACGATGATGGAACAAAGGCATGGCAGCAGGAGCCAGAAGCTGAGGGCTCACATCTTGAATATAAGCAAGAAGCAGAGAGAGCAGGCTGGCAATGAAGGGCCTTTTTAAGATTTATTTTACTTTACATGTATACATGTTTTGCCTGTATGTCTGCATGTGAGCCTGTTGGATCCTCTGGGACTGGGGTTACAGA